CCCAGAGCCAGGAGAGAACCCAGGAGTCCTGGCTCCCAGCCCCCCCGTGCTCTAACCACTAGCCCACACTCACCTGTGCTCATCCTCCTGGCTCTGCCTGGTCGCATGCAGGTAGCGCCCTTCGCGGATTTCCTCCGGCGCCTCCGAGAACTGTTCTTTCAGCTCCCGGATGACGGAGCTGCTCAGCGCTCGCTTCTTCGCCTGCTCCAGGACCTTCTTCTCCCGCTCGGCCGCCGTCTCATCTGAGGAGGGGTGGAAGGGGGGGCAGATGGAGATGTGGCCACCTCTGGGGTGGGACGCGGGGGCTGCGTACAGGGGGACCCCTCACCCAGCGCTGAGATGCAGCCACCTCTGGGTGGGGCGCGGAGGCAGAATATGGGGGACCCCTCACCCAGCGCTGAGATGCAGCCACCTCTGGGTGGGGCGCAGGGGCTGAGTATAGGGGGACCCCTCACCCAGCGCTGAGATGCGGCCACCTCTGGGTGGGGCGCAGAACAGGGGAACCCCTCACCTGGCGCTGAGATGCGGCCATCTCTGGGGTGGGGCGCGGGGGCTGGTTGTACAAACCCCGCTCTCTTTCTGGGTAGAACCCAGGTGGCCGGGCTCCCAGCACGTACCATAATGCACCGGGACCAGCCGGGGTGGGACGTATTTCCGGACCCCTCCTTTGGCCAGGGGCTTCTTCCCAGCAGCTTTGCCTTCAGTCCCGTCCGCCTCCTCCTCGTCACTCAGCTGCCGGAGAGAAAACAGCCTGTCAATCAAGGGCTGGCCCCGCCCTCCCCCCCATGGCAGGCCAATCTCAGGGGAATGTGGGGAACCCCATTCCTTCTTCCAGAGTCAAGACAGAGCCCAGGAGTCCTGGCTCCCAGCCCCTCCCCTGCTCTAACCACTAGACCCCACTCCCTTCCCAGAGCTGGGGATGGAAGCTAGGAGTCCTGCCCCTGCCCCTCCCCCTCACCTTGCTCATCATGTTCCCGGGGTCTGGTTTGAATCTCAGCGGATTGTCGTCTCCTGCAACGAGAGCGCCCCGGGGGGGGGTGGTCAGCAGGGGGCCCGGTCACCCCGCACCCCACCCCCCTTGGTGCCCCCAACTCACCCACGGCGCCCGTCACAGCCGCCTTCACCAGCTTGTCAACCTGGTACCGGAGTTTCTGCTCAATGGGCCGCATCTTCTCCAACACCTGGGGGGGGGGGGGAGAGGAGGAAGAGTGTGGTGAGGGGTCAGACGTGGAGAGACCCTGCCCCCTAAGAACCACCCACTGCACCCAGGAGTTCAGGCTCCCAGACCCCTCTGCTCTAACCACTAGTCCCCCTCTCCTCTCAGCCAGGATAGAACCCCAGAGTCCTGGCTCACAGCCCCCCCCCCCCCCCCAACCACTCGCCCCCCCTCCTCTCCTGGAGATACCCCCCAGCGCCAGAACCTGCCCTCCAGCAGTTTTCCCCCACCCCCCCCAAGACCTCTCCCCCAGGCCCCCATAGGCTCCGTCGCCCACCCACCGTGCGCAGCTCGGCCAGGCGCAGGACAGCTGGCTGGGCCACCAGGGACCGGCCAGAGGTCTTCTCCAGCACCAGCTGGGCCAGGTCCTGGAGATAGAACAGCAGCAGCTGGGCCTTCAGCTCCAGGAAACTCAGCCCCTGTGGAAGGGGGAGAGGCATCAAGGGGGGCCAGGATGGGGACACCTGGGAGAGGGACAGGGGCAGGATTGGGGGACACCCGGGAGAGAGACAGGGCAGGATGGGGGGGGACACCTGGAGGGGGGGGGTCTAGCGTCAGAGTAGGGGGCGGATCACCATGGGGAGGGAGAAGAGGACGCAGCAGGTCCCCACCTGAGCTCTCACCTTCTCCGTGGGGAAGGCGCCGGCCCGGACCCGCTGCAGCAGCCCCTGGACATGGGCCGTGACCCCGACAACCTGGGGGGGGGAAGAAAGGGGTTGAATCGGGGCCTTTTCCCTGGGGGGCAGCAACGATCCAGGATCTGGGGGGGTCGGGGTCTCTCTCACCTGCTCCTGGAGTGATCCCAGCAGGGCCAGTGCGGGGGGCAGGTCGGACACCAGCTGTTCCTGCAGGGTGGGGAGACTTTAAACCGAGCCACCCCCGCTACTCCCCCTCCCACCAGTGCACCCCCAGCCTCCCCGTGTGCCCCACACCCGGATCCCCTCCCATGTGCCCCCCTGGACCTCCTCCCCCAGCCCGCCCCCGTGCGCCCCCTCCAGAGCTCCCCCCATACCCCACACCCGGCTCCCCTCCCCGTGCGCCCCCCAGTCCCCCGT